CTTTGCTTTAAAGTTATAATTTATATGGGTGCATGAGACTCTACTAGGGGTCTCAAGATAAAGCAATATGTTTTGTTGACTAAAGGAAAAAAGAGAATGTTTCTGATCTAAACTAAAACTTTTTTTTTTACTCTAGAATAGGAAAGAGGGTGGTGAAAGACAAAACTCAGCATGTACAGAAAGCTCTAGAAAGTTCACAGACCTAGAATTTGAAAAGGAATAAATTCGTGCTCAAATTTTCTAAAGCTGACTCAGTTTTCATGAGTTAGCTCATTAAGATTTTCAGAAAAAGCTCATGGTTACTTTAGTATCAAACATTATATTGAACATTAAGTCAACCTGAGAATTTTATTTGCTTTCTGTTTAAAAGATCAAGTTTTGTTGGAGTGTTTGTCTGCTTGGCATAAGATATTGTAAAAGGACACTCTTCAGATACATTCGTTTTCTATGGTGTTGTAACAAATGACTAAGACCTTGGTGGTGTAAACACACATACGCACACGTTTATTTGCTTACAGTTCTGGAAATCAGAAATCCTAAATCATTTTCTCTGGGCTACCTTTTTTATAATCTGCCCCCCAAAGCAGAGATTCTATATCTCAACAGAATCATTTTCAACATATTGTTCTTACTATATCATGACCATGATTAGTCTCTTTAAAATAAAAGAAAAAAATAAAAGTTACATTTTTAATGTTTATTTAAATATGTATTATATTTCCACTTTGAGTAATAGGTAACCAAGCTACAACCATTGACGTACTCAGGCTTCCATAATCCTATCTTAGGTGCTCAAATGACCTGGCAATTTTATTTTTGCCTTCCTCAAATGGAATCCTAAATGAAAAAGAAAATAAAATAATGCTTCAAAATGTATGTCTCACTTAAAACTTTCCTTGAGATTTTCCATAACTCCCTGGAAAGTCACAAAAATTAATTGTGTCATCTTATAACAAGAGAGGTGGTAGAAACAGATTTATTTGATATACTACTATTTATGAGTTGTATAGAAAAACTTGTCTAATCAAAAGAGGTTCTCAGCCTGCACTAAGTAAAATTGGAATAGAGAAATATTGTTCACATAAATATTTTAGAAATTGTATTATGTACAGGAAGGTCCTAGATATATGTCAGTACACTTTCTGTCCATGATGTGTTGCTATTTAACAGAGTCCTGGTGTGCTTTCTGTGATGATACTGGTCAACAATACCATAGTGTTATAAGGTATAATTTCAGTTACTAATTTTAAATGTTTGATTGCAATCTGATTTTTAATGTACACCTACCCTCTGCTAGGTCAGAGATTTTCAAGTGAAGAAGCATATCAAACTCATTTCTGGAGATTTATTAAAATATAGATGCTTAAGCCTATACCATACATTGTGGAAAATAGGCTAAATCATTATGCCTACAGAGGTTTTTTCAAAAGTTCTTTTCTGACTTTATAATATTCCTTTTTTGCACACCACAGGAAAAAGTAATTTTATTTTCAGTTGCATTATTCTTGTTATGCCCTTCCACAATATTTTCTCTTGTGGAAATTATATATTACTTCACTTGTAATAAGTTAACCACACCCTTTAAAAGTCTCTGTCTCCTCCAGATTGTTATTAGATTTACACTGATGCTTCCGGGAAGACCATACAATCAGCCACAGGCAAAAAGCTTTATCTTTAAAAACAAGGACCATCTCAGAGCCCAGTGAAAAAGACAGTACCTCAAATATTTCAAAGATAGGCTGCTGAGCACAGATTTCTCTTGTTATCATATAACTACCTTTAAGACAATATCAGAGGACAGAGTTAGAATTTTCAAAACATTCATGACACGATTTAACACAATGTCCAGCAGAACAAGACCTAGGGGTACAAAGTCCAAAGACCTGCACTATAAAATCTGTCCTTTTCTCCTAACCTGTCTGGCCATCTCTAAATAAGACACAAGTGAAAGTTGTCGAAAGTGAGGTGTTGAATGAGACAGCAATTCTGCCTCTCTGCCTCCCTCCCTCCCATGAGTGTGGGATTCCTTGCACGTGTGGAGGGGGATTTTGCAGGGGCTGGGTTAGGCTGATGCTCTGCTGGTCCTGGCCCCCATGTTCCCTGTGAAACCCACAAGCCCAGTTAAGCACGATTCTTGGATGGCAGTGCCTCTCTGCTGACCCTCCCCAGCCCCTTGGCTCTGCAGAGGGCTTGACACCATGCACTCATTCACACTCCAAACTCCACCTCAGGCATCAAATGGAGAGTATGAAAGAGCCAGGAAGCCGGGCTCCTTACAGGGTCTCAGTGACCATGGGTGTCAAGTAGCACATGAACTGTAAGGTGACCACCTCCCCACACAGAACCATGGTTAACCCACCTACTTTGGCCTTTCTGGCCTCGTAAGGGAAAATCATTTTTATCGGTAATCGGTTTCTTAGGCCAAACTAAGATGACTGCGCAGTGTTTTTTCCTGCCTGGCCCCCTCAGCTAGCCAGTCTTCCAGGGAGGAATGAGTCAGCATACTCATTTAACCAAGGTGTTATCTCCTATGTGAATCCATGCAATCACGCTTTCCCATGGCATGTTGCCACCATTGTTCAGAGACCTATATAAGCGCTCGCCACGTTCTCAGCCATGCTTTTCGCTGCTGCTGTATCCCCTGGACAATAAAGAGCATGTCTCACCTGCCTGCTGCCACTCACCTTTTCTTCCAACTTCCGAAGCCTGCGCCGGAGCACAAGCTAGGCACAGAGCCCACTCCCCACAGGCCTTGAATGAATTCCTCAGATGGACATTCCAATGAAGTATTCAGGAGTCTATGTTTTGTGCTACTAGTCAGAGTCGCAAACCAAAATAGTTTTAAAAATATAAGATAGCTATTTGTTCAATACCTTAAGATCTGAATATAATGATCAATTCTCTCACATTGCCCACCCTAGAGGAACCCACTTTTCACTGAAGGGCACAGGACTATGAGAAACCCATGTCCTGGACACAAAGATGCATCACTTCAGGGAGGGAGGGGCAATGTTGTCACTGTCATGTGATCAGCTGAAGGTGACTCTTCACCTGTGGTTGCCAGGGAGAGGCCTGCTTGCTACTCAGATGCACAGAAGAGGAAGAGATGAGCTCAGCTAATGCTGGGAGGGCTTCACAGCTCTCTGTTAGGAACACACTTTTGTGGGTGGACATCTTGACAATGAGGTGTCTGGAAACATGAGGTTCAGTGACCATGCTTCTTGGGTTTAGACAAGCACATCTTCCAAAGAGCTCTAAGCACAACCCTGACACTATTTCCTTCATTCTCAGGACACTCCTGTGGATTAGCCAAAGGCCAAACAGTGTCCTTCTGCTTAGTCAGAGGCAGAGTGAGGGTGAGTCAGCAGGAAGGAGGAGCAGAAAGGAAAGCAGGGTGGGAAACGCCTGGCCCATCCCTCTGCCCAGCCTTCTCCTGTCTCTCCACAGGGTCCAGCATGCTGTGGTTCTCACAGCCAGTGCCCAAGTGTTCAGCAGTCACCTGAGAACCAGGCCCGGCTGCACGCTGGAGAAGCATGCTGCATGCCTGGTGCTAGGGAAGGAGACAGATGCAGCTGTTTATTAAGGGCTCCCCTGTGCCACACGCAGTGAGAAGCAGCAGTGTGCAGGCACAGGGGGCTTAATCTTTGGGGAAGCCAAAGATAGAGGGACTCTTATTACCCTCATTTTTCACATGAGGAAACCTGTTCAGAGGGAGTAAATCAAGGTCCAAGATCACATGGCCAAAAAGAGGTGAACTGGGATCTGGAACCACAACCCTGGATTCCATCACTAATGTTGGCTGGGCAGCTGCTGACCAGCCCCCTCTGAAAAGGCAGCGGACTGCATAGCATGGCCCTCGAGAATCCTACAAACAGTGAAAACCTCAAATGTGGGCACTCACAGGCAAGGGGACAGATTGCCGCAACACTTGATGTGACACCTTTTGTAAAATAGTATAGAGCATAAAGAGTATTGGAGTATCATATGCGCTTTTCAGTCCATCACTCAGGACAGAATTACACAGGTTATTCTTATCCCTCTCAGAGTATGCATTTGGCCACTGATAACTCTTTGTTGTTGTATCAAATACATGATCATTAAGATAAATAAGTGTTTAATCTGAAAATGATCTTGATAATTGTGTTTTAAGTGAAATATATTTATAAGAAATCCCATGATTTAATAATTAATAACCATTAAGAGTTTCTTGAATTGCCTGTCTTAGGCCAGGTTTTATATATTATTATGATTGAATTTACCAGTGTTCACAAGATAGGTCAGACAGATATAGTCACAGGATTGGTTACTATACCTTATCTCTAGGCTTCCTTTGAAATGAATTAGGGTATAAATAAATAAGAAACGATATCAACCTAATGATAACCCCTTTTTTTTGTATTTTTCCTTATGGTTTCCCATCACTCCTAAATCCCCATGTAAGAGCCCATGTCCCATTAAGTTCATGCCAGCCAGTGTGCCCCCTCCTTCCCAACCTTTGTTGCCACCTCCCTCACCTCCCCTGCCATGAATAAAGCTGCCTGCACCTCAGTCAGGGTTTTCAGCCCCACCGCAGTTCCTAGCTTCCTGCTGGAATTCAACAGGCCTAGGAGGCCCCAGCCAAGTCCCTGTCCTCCCAAGGACTTCCGTGCTTAGAGGCAATGAGGACATCTCTCCCTCTCTCCCTCAGGCAGCTACTGCCACCAGGGCTGCTGCCCACACCTGACACCACTGGAAACTGCTCCTCTGAAATCATTGATTCAAACACCCCCCACTGACCACGCCATCGACCCCCCAGCTCTCTATGGGATAGCCCCCCCTGGATGTCTCACAGACCCCTCCTACCCAAAATGACAGAAACCGAGAGGAGTGTCAGGAGCATTCTCAAGGATTTACATCCTTTATTAGCATTTACTGATGACAGCAGTGGGGCATCCTCAGCTAAGATGTTTGGGCTCTAGCTGATGCTATCAGGATTCCCGCCAGGTTCTGGACCCCAGTCTTCAGCCGATCTTCCTGGCCCCGGGCATCTCATCCTTCAGGGCGCAGTGAGCCTCACGGTTATCCACTTCTCTCTCCCCCTCTTGCGAGTTGCTGTTCATCGTGCCATTCCTGGCCTCAGAGCCCACCATTTCGAGGATGTAGTCGACAAAGCAGTCGAGCACAGCAAGCAGGAAATCTGTTCTGGTGGAAGTCACGCGTTGCTCATATTGTTCCCCCTGCAGAAGGCGGTCCACGAAGCTCAAAGGCAACTGTAGCTCATTTCCGGAAGAAGTGTTTTGAGTCTGATTGCTAAGTCCATCAGAGTTCTCAGGGCTCCTTTTGTCTGCCATGGTGTTTGCTGGATTTGGCTCTGATCAGCTCTACTTGATTTTACAGCTGGACTAGGTCTCTGAAGAAGACACAGGTGCTCTGTGTTGCCATAGTATCCCTGTGCACCTGCGCCTCATTGGTCAGGGAGCTGCCTTTGTGACATCCCAGGCTTTATGATGTCATCAGTGTCCACTGGGCCCTGACCAGGCCTCGGCCTAGAAATGGCCGACAGGGACCTGGTTACCCTAATAACTGGGCCCTGCTTTTGACAGAACAGTATCTTTCTATCTGACTTTAACATTGTAGAAATAAATGTGTGCTTCAGTTGAAACTTTGCCCTGTCTTTAGGACACCACTCCAGGTTATCTAATTACAACCTTTCATTGTCTTTGAGGTCTTTTACAACCTTTTGTCAGTTGTAGGTCACTGATAATGATAAACATGTAAAATATATTCCCTAGCTGAGGTTCAATTGTCCTTCCCCTCATGGTGTAATGAAACCAGTTTTGCCTCTATTTACACATTCATTTAATATTCCTAATGAATAGTCCCATGTCTACGCTTTGGATTCTCTTTTAAACCAGTTATTAATACAATATCTGTCTCTTTTAACATGTTAATTTCTTGTCTTTATGAGTGTCATGGTTTTATCCTGTTTGAAAAATATGTTTTAATCCTTTTTGTAGTAACAATAAGATGCTCAATGCTCAGCGCATTCACCTGTCAGAGACAGGTAAGCATAGTTGATAGAGAATAGCACCTCATGCTCAATTCAAATCCAGATACATCTTTTTTGGCTCTGCTATGTGAAGCCAAAGCACCAAGAGATGTTGCTTCCTTTTTTCTTTTTTTTTTTTTTGATCAGAGATGCCATTTAATAAACTAATTTTTAAATCTACAACAATTATGAGAACCATCAACATACAAGAAATGTCCAAAAAAATTGTATTACAAAAAGCAAGTGCAGTAGAGGAATATTGATAGATAAAGCTGAGCAAAGGAAGCCACGCCCTAGAATACATGCATAAGAGGGATTTTTTTTATTACAGCATATTATGGGGGTACAAATGTTTAGGTTACGTATATTGCCCTTGCCCCCACTTCCCTCCAGTCAGACCTTAAGTGTGTCCGTCCCCCAGATGGTGCGCATCGCACTCATTATATATGTATATACCCATCCCCTCCTCCCCCCTCCCATCTGCCCGACGGCCGATAAATGTTATTCCTATATGTGCACTTACGTGTTGATCAGTTAATACCAATTTGATGGTGAGTACACGTGGTGCTTATTTTTCCATTCTTGGGATACTTCACTTAGTAGAATGGGTTCCAGCCCTATCCAGGAAAATATAAGAGGTGCTATATCACCATTGTTTCTTGTAGCTGAATAGTACTCCATGGTATACATGTACCACATTTTATTAATCCACTCAAGTATTGATGGACACTTGGGTTGGTTCCACCTCTTTGCAATTGTGAATTGTGCTGCTATAAACATTCGAGTGCAGGTGCCTTTTTTATAGAATGTCCTTTGTTATTTTGGGTAGATGCCCAGTAATGGGATTGCTGGATCAAATGGTAGATCTACTTGCATCTCTTTGAGGTATCTCCATATTGCTTTCCACATAGGTTGCACTAGTTTGCAGTCCCACCAGCAGTGTATGAGTGTTCCTATCTCTCCACATCCACACCAACATTTATCGTTTTGGGGCGTTTTGATAAAGGCCATTCTTACTGGAGATAAATGATATCTAATTGTGGTTTTAATTTGCATTTCCCTGATGGCTAGAGATGTTGAACATTTTTTCATATGTTTGTTGGACATTACTCTGTCTTCTTTTGAAAAGTTTCTGTTCCTGTCCTTTGCCCACTTTTTAATAGGGTTCTTTGATTTTTTCTTGCTGATTTTCCTGAGTTCTAAATAGATTCTAGTTACCAGCCCTTTATCAGATGTGTAGCGTGCGAATATTTTCTCCCATTCTGTAGGTTGTGTGTTTGCTCTTGTGATAGTTTCTTTGGCTGTGCAGAAGAGCAATCAGACTTGAGAGATGGATACAAGTGCATAAAGGCTTCCTTTTTTCTTATTTAATTTTCCTCTCCACTAATTTTGTGTTTCTGCTTTGGTTCATTAATAGCCAATAACTTTCCCATTCCAAAAGAGAGAAAGTGAGAGGAAGAAAAGAGTCTCTAATCCAAGCAATTTCAAAATCCAACTAGACTGTGCTCTCACCAGAAGCAATTTTAATATCTCTATTTCTACTAATAGTCTGTTTAAGATAATCTAAGGTTGTCCTATACTTTTCCTAGAAATATTTCCAGCCTATAGCCATTATCCAATTCCAAAGCCACTTCCACAATTTTAGATATTTGTTATAGCAGCAACCTACTTCCAGGTACCAAAAGCTTAATAGATTCCTACAGCTACTATAATGAATTGCCACAAACTTGGTACCTTAAAACAACACACATTCAGTCTCCCACAGATCTGAAGGGCAGAAGTTCGAAATCTGCTTCATTGGTCTAAAAACAAGGTGTTACAGTATCATGCTCCCTCTGGATGCTCTAGAGGATGGTCCGTTTTCTTGCCTTTTCCAGCTCCTAGAGCTGCATTCCTTGTCTGGTGGCTCCATCCTTTATATTCACAGACAGCAGCATAGAATCTTGCTTCAGTGGTCACATTTCCTTCTTCTGTGTCAAATCCACCTCTGCCTCCCTCTTACATGGACATATGTGATTGCACTCAGGTTCTATCAGACAATACAGAATAATATCCCACATCAAGATCCTTAATCATATTTGTGAATCCTCTTTGTCCATATAAGGTGACATTCATAAGTGCAAGAGGTTAGGATCTAGATATCTTTGGGGGCCTTTATCAGCCTACCACAGGAGTAGTCCCAGAAAATTCTGGCAGGGAAGAGGAATTGAGATAGAGAAGGAAAGGAAGAAAACAAAGTATTCATTATCTAGCAGCTTAATATTACTGAAGAACTTTAGAGACCACTGTAGAAAACACATTTTTTAGAAGCAGATAATGCCCCATCATTTTGGACTGTCATATTATTGGGTAGAGTGGGCTCTGGGGCCTAATAAAATGCCTCACACAAAGAAATACAGGTTCTGACATTTAAAGCCAGGCAAATATGCACTTAAATGGTGTGAGCTATGGGAATATGGGCAGGACACTGACAGTATCTTCTATGCCCAGAAATGTCTGGTATACCCCCCCTAATAAAGTCTTTCCTTTTCTTCTTACCTCCGGCCCACTATTCCATCCTTTATTTAACAAATGTACAATGTGTAGCTACCAGGCATCAAGCACTGAAGTAGATGCTGGATATTCAATGTTAAACAAATAAACGTTATCTCATCCTTATGGAGTATCCACTCTAGTAGGAAAGATAGATGTTAAAAAAAACCCTCAAACAAATACATACTTTAAATTTGTTGTGCATGATCTGAAGCAGAATTTATCAACTTCAGCACAATTGACATTTTGGACTGGATAATTTTTTGTTGTTGGGCAGGAGGGCTGCCTCTGGCATATAATAAGATAGCAGTATCCTTGGCCTCTATCCACTAGATTATAGTAGCATCTTCCAGTTGTGATGCCAAAAAGTAACTCCAGACATTGTCAAATGTCCCTTAGGGGGAAAAATTATCCTCAATTGAGAATCACTTATCTACATTAAAAACAAAAGTACTTTGAACTACAGTGACGGGATGTAATTTAGATGGGGTAATCAAGGAATACCCACTGAGGAAATGACAATGAACCTTAGAACTGGCACAAGAATAGGAAATGAAAACTCTTATAGATGTCAGCCTAGGCAAGTAAAAAGAATTTATGAAGAAGATCCCAAAGGCAATCACAGCAACAACAAAAATAAATAAATGGGTCCTGATCAAATTAAAAAACTTCTGCACAGCCAAGGATGCAATCAATAGAGCAAATAGACAACCTACAGAATGGGAGAAAATATTTGCATGCTATACATCCAATAAAGGGCTAATGACGAGCATCTACAAAGAACTCAAGCAAATCAGCAAGAAAACATCAAACAACCCCATTAAAAAGTGGGCAAAAGACATGAACAAAAGCTTTTCAAAAGAAGATAAACTAATGGCCAGTAAACATATGAAAAAATGCTCAACGTCATCAGGGAAATGCAAATCAAAACCACAATGAGATATCACCTAACTCCAGTGAGTATGGCTTTTATCAAAAAGTCCCAAACAACAAATGCTGGCATGGATACAGAGAGAAAGGAAAAC